TGGGAGAGGGAGAAGCAGGCTTCCCATGGAGCAGGGAGCCCGACGTGGGGCTCGATCCCAGGACCCTGGGATCATGACCTGAGCTGAAGGCAGACGCTTAATGACTGAGCCACCCAGGCACCCCAATGTATAAATATTTTTAAGTGAAATTGAGATCGTACCAAATATACTATTTTTGCATCTTGCTTTTTTGAAAAATTGCACTTTAAACTATTTTAGCACTGAGGCATTTAACAATTAATGTAATGTAATCCATCATAATTTTCTTTTTTTTTTTTTAAAGATTTTATTTATTTATTCATGAGAGACAGAGGAGGAGAGAGAGAGAGAGAGAAGCAGAGGGAGAAGCAGGCTCCCAAGGAGCAGGGAGCCCGATGCGGGACTCGATCCCAGGACCCTGGGATCATGACCTGAGCCGAAGGCAGACGCTTAACCATCTGAGCCACCCAGGCGCCCCATCATAATTTTCTTTTAAAGATTTTATTTGTAAGCAATCTCTACACCCAACATAGGGCTCAAACTCACAACCCCGAGATCATGAGTCGCACACTCCACCAACTGAGCCAGCCAGGCGTCCCTATAATTTTCTTTTAAATAGATGCTTTTATTATATAAATCTTGGTTTATGAAGTTTTTGTTCAACTATTTATTTCAAAATAATTGTAGATTCACAGGAGGTTGAAAGGAATGTATACCAAAGTCCCACGTGCCCTTCCCCCTGCCTCCTCTAATGGTAACGACTTATACAACTATGGTACTATATCAAAACCAAAATATTGACATTGATATAATCCATAGTTTTAGATTTCATCAGTTACACATGCATTCGTGTGTGTAGCTCTATGAAATTCTATCATGTGTAGCCTTGCATAACCATCCCCACAACATCCAGAGACTCAACTGCACTATCCTTTGTGTCACTCCTTCATAGCTACACCCATCTCATGCCCCCCCCCATCCCTAACCCCTGGCAATTACTAATCCATTCTTTATCTCTCTTTATATGTTACTCCATGAATGATACATAAATGGAATTATGCAGGAAATATAGTTTGAGATTGGCTTTTCTTATTCAGCGTTAAGTTCCTTGAGGTTTATTTAAGTTGTTGCAGATATCAACAGTTTGGTCCTTTTTATTGCTGAGCCATATCCCATGCTACAGATGTGCCACAGTTTGTTTAAATATCAACCAATTGAAGGATATTTGGGAAGTTTCCAGTTTTTGGCTATTATGAATAAAGCTGCTATGAACATTCATGTGGTTTGGACACAAGTGCTCATTTCTCTAGGATGAATGACCAGGAGTGCAATTGCTGGATTGTATTATAAATCCATTTTCAGTTTTTAAAGGAACTGCCAAACTATTTTCCAGAGTGACTGCATGCAACCTACTTTTTAAACTTAACAATATGCTGTCAACAATTCTTATCATTATTTCCTATGTCATTAAATATTCTTCTAAAACATGGATGGCAGTACATAATTTCCAAACCAATTTCCTAATTTTGAATACTTAGGAATATTTCTGATTTTTATATTATAAATAATAAAGTGAAAAATGTGATTGTGGAAAAATCTTTGTGCCTATTTCTGATTATTTCCTTAGGATAAATTTCTACACTTAGACATACTGGCTTAAAGAGTATGAATGAACATTTTAAAGTCTCTTGCTATGTTTTTTTCAAATTGTCCTACTGAAAGGTGTTTCAATTTAAAATCCCACAGCAATATATGAGAATTGGGCAAAGTTTGTAAAACTACTAATATTGCAACACAAATCGCAAATGATTGGTATCTTTAACATATAAATAGACCTTACATAGCAACCAGAAGAAGATTAAATACCCAATATCAGGATACTTTGGACTGCAAGTGACAGAAAACTCAAAATTCAAAATTTTATCAATAGAGAAATGTATCACTTCATATAGTACGAAGTCTAAAAGTAGGGCAACTTCTGGATTTGTTGATTTCACACAACTTTAATAAAAGGCACCACAGTACCCAGACTAACAGTGCAGGCACTGAAGCTATACTGTTAGATTAACATCTCAATTCTTCCACTTACTAAGTGTGTATCATTAAGCAAATTACTTGTCCTATTTATGCCTCAGGTTCCTATTTTGAAAACGGTTATATTAGTAGTATCTATTTCATAGGATTGCTGTAAGAATGAAAAGAGTTTATATATGTAAAATACCCATTAAGTGTCGATATCATCAAGAGCCTAGATTCTTTCTGTTTTTCTGTTCTGCCATCCTTGGCATGTTAACTTTATCCTCAGTCTTGAGACCTCATGGTCACAAGATAGCTGCAGTAATTCTAGGCATCATATCTCAGACAATCAGAGATAGAAGAGACAAAGTAGTCTTCTCTGTTACTTAAGAACAAAGAAACTTTTCCGAACAGATCTCCCTCATATCCTGCTGGCTAGAAAATGGGTTATCCAACACCAACCTGTTAAAAAAATTTTTTTAAAGGAGAATGGAATTGCCATGATTGGCTTAGACCAATGAGAATTTACCCATAAGCTAAAACCCACTTTCCCTGTGGGTAGAAACCAAACAAAATCAGTTCTTTTAACAGGGAAGAAGAAAGAAATGGATATCGGGTGGACAACCAGAATATCTGTCATGTATCATATTAGAAAAAAATGGGCAACACATGTGCACAAGCAATTCATAAGAGAAGAAATGCAAAGGCAAATAAACATAAAAAAACATTCACCTTGATTAATGAGCAAAGAAATGCAAATTAAAAGAAGTTTTTGTATTTTCTCTAACAATTTGGCAATGATGAAAAAGAATGATAATCATCTACAACAGCAATAAATATACAAGGTGCCTAGGAATAAATCTTACACAAGATGTGTAAGACCTATAGGGAGAAAATTATAAAATTTTGCCAAACAACCTTAAAGAAGACCTAAATAAATGGAGATATATACCATGTCCATGGATAGGAAGACTCAGTATCCTAAAGATGTCAATTCTACTCGTAATTAATTTAGAGATTTAAAGTAATTCCAAGGAAAATCTTTAGGGTTTTTTTGTTTTTGTTTTGTTTGTTTTTTTGTTTTTAGGAATAGATAAATTATTTCTAAAATATATATGAAAGAGCAAAGGTCCCAAACTAGTTAAGACCCTCTTAAAGAAATATGGCAAGGGAATTTTTCTTACCAGATAGCAAGACGTTTTATAAAATAAGACAAGAGTAAAACAGATAATGTGATATTGGGTAAGGGATAGGCAAATTTAGCAATGGAACAAAATAGTCCCCAAACAGACTCACACATTATAGACACTTGACATATTACAGTGGTAGCATTAAAAATCAATGGAGGGTGCCTCAGTCAGTTAAGCATCGGTCTTCAGCTTAGGTCATGATCCCAGGATCCTGGGATGGAGTCCCACATCGGGCTCCCTGCTCAGCGGGGAATCTGTTCCTCCCTCTCCCTCTGCCCCTCCCCCAGCTTGTGCTCTCTCGCGCTCACTCTCTCTCTCAAATAAATAAAATCTTTAAAAAAAAAAAAAAGAAAATCGGTAGAAAGAGAATGGAAAAAGAAAAGAAAATTGGATTCCCACCTTTTATCCTACACAGAAAGTAACTCAAGATTACTTGTAAATTTAAATTTTTTAATTATTTAGAAGAAGAAGATAGATTATCTTTAAGCCTTTATATTAGGGAAGGATCTTTTACATAAAACATGAAAAGCATTAACTATACAAAGACAAGATGTCTTTGACATCTCAAAGTGAATAAAATGACAAGCCATGAACTGAGAGAAGATATTTATAGAACAAATAACTGAAAAAGATTAGTGTTCAGAATATATAAGGAATTCCTACAAGTGTATTTCAAAAAGGATTCTTAAGAAAGTAGGCAAGAGACACACACAGGTATTTCACAAATGAGAAAAACACATGGCCAATAAACATATGAAAAAATTAACAGCCTCATCAGGAAACAAATTAAGATCATAATGATATATCCTTTATATCTATCTGATTCCCCCAAATAAAATAACTGATAATACCAAGTGTTGGTAATGAGGTAGATCAGTTGGAACTCTTTAAGTCCTACTGGAGAGAGAATTAATTAATTTAACCATTTTGGAAGACGAGCACTATTTGTAAAGCTGACTATTCATATAGACTATGCCCTAGCTGTTCCACTTGTACATACGCCAAAATACACATAAGAATATTTATAGTTTATATTCTCCCACCCCCCCCAAAAAGATTGGAAACAACCCACATATCTGTTGAAGAAAAATGAATACATAAATTGTGGTATGGTCACATGATGGAATATTATGCAGCAGTGCTAATGAGAGAACCACAGATACATGTAAGAACATAGATGAATTTTAGGAATGTCATATCAAGTGAAAAAAGCAAATTGTAGAAAATTACATTATAATGCCATTTGTAAAAAAAAAAAAACCCTCAAAACCAAGCAGAACTAAACAATATGTTGTTTAGGGATTATAAATATATAATACTTTTTTTTAAAAAAACAAAGCAAAATCAATCAAAATCTAGTGGTTATCCTTGGGTATTCAAGAAGGCAAGGAAATGGAATAGACAAACACACACATCAATGAGGTGGTTTTGGCAGTATTTCAGGGTTTTTTTGGTATATGTCACATATTTTTTTTAATTGTGGTAAAATACACAGAACAAAAAATTTGCCATTTTAACCCTTAAGTGTGCAGTTCCATGGCATTAATGTATGTCCATCATCCACCATCCATCTCTAGAACTCTTTTCATCTTGTAAAACCGAAATTCTGTACCCATTAAACAACTTATGCCTCCCTCCAGCCCCTGAAAACCACCATTCTACTTCCTATGTCTATGTATTTAAGAATCTTGGTTTTAAGTTGAGAGATGGGTTCATGTATGTTCATTTTGTTGTCATGTGTCATAACTTGTATATATATATATATTATATATACACACTACATGTATTATTTTGTATATATAAAATACTACATACCTTATTTTGTAATGGCTTGATGCCTGGAAAAATAAAGAACAATATCCAAAATTGGCCAGAACATGGTGTTAACAAGCATGTAAATTGGTACAATTTTTAGGACAATTTAAACTTAACACAAACAAAATTGACAAATGTATTATAGCTTTTGGGAGGTATGGTGTTTTCAATTTTGGTTTCCAATTATTCTTTGCTAGTATATAGAAATAAGACTGATTTTTGTGTGTTGACCTTGTATCCTTGCTATATTTACTTACTAGTTCTAGGAGGTTTTTTGTCATTGTTATTGATTCTTCAGATTTTCTGGGTGGACAATGTCTTCTGTGAATAGGGAGTTTTCTCTCTTTCTAGTCTGTCTGTAAAATTTCTCTTTCTTTTCTTACTGCACTGTCTAGGACTTTTGAGTATAATGTTAAATAGGAGTGGTGAGAGTGGACATCCCTGTCTTATTCTGATCTTAGAGAAAAGGCAGTCTTTCACCATAAAGTATTATGTTAAGTGTAGGCTCTTGGAAATGCTCTTTACTAAGTTAAAGAAGTTCCCTTCTATTCCTAGTTCTCTGAGAGTTTTTTTTTTTTAAAGATTTTATTTATTTATTCATGAGAGACAGAGAGAGAAGCAGAGGGAGAAGCAGGCTCCCCGCTGATCAGGGAGGCCAATGCGGAACTAGATCACCTGAGCCGAAGGCAGACGCTTAACCATCTGAGCCACCCAGGCGCCCTGTTTTTTTTTTTTTAATGGCTGTTGAATTTTGTCAAATCCTTGCATCGATTGATATGATCAAGTGGTTTCACTTTTTATATTGTTAATATGGCTTGTTAAATTGATTAATTTTTAAATATTAAAAGAGCTTTGCATTCTGGGTTTGAATTCTATTTGGTAATGATGTCTTAATCTTTTTTATATATTGCTGGATTTGATTTGCTAATTTGTTACAGGTTTTGCATCTGTGTTCGTGAGGGATACTGGTCTGTAGCTTTCTTGTATTAGCTTTGTCTGATTTTGGTATCGATGTATCTTTTTGGAGGGCAATTTGTCAATTGTAACAAATATCTTTAAAATGTGTGTGTCCAAAGATTCTAAGAATTTAAAGAAATAGGGATTCTCATTACACCCAGACTTTGGATTCAGATAGACGGAGATTTAAATACGAATGCATCCCCTTACCAACTGCTTAAATTTTGTGGCTGTTTTCTAACCTGTAAAATGAGGATAAGAGTACCTACCTCATAAATTGCAACAGATGAGATCATTCACACACAGTGCCCAACACCTAGTGAACTTTAAGTCAATAGTAGCTCTTGGTATTGTTATACTTGCCAGCCTCTGTAGTCTGTCCAAATGGAAGGACATCATCTTCGCTCCCATGTAAGCTCCCCCTTTGAATCTCCTCACTGGGGAGTATTCGGTCTCCTCATCCCTGATTCCTGTCTTACATTAGGTGTATGAGGCGTTGGGAATGCAAAGGCAAAAAAGGTTTGGTCCCCGTCCTCAGGGAGCTGAATCTATTAGAAACACACAGGTGCAAACGAACCAGTTCCATGCAGCAAAAGAGCATTATGACGCGTCTGCTTAAAGTGCAGCGGGTCCTGGACCCGCAATCTGAGCGTCTCAGTCAAGAGAGCGGGTGTTTGCTTGGGGACCAGGACCAGGGCGGCAACTTGTGCAGCGCAGCCTCGGGTCTTGGGGGGTAGGGGGACGCCGAGGCTGGCTGTTTCCACAGCAACGAGACAAGCCACCCTCATGGGGCCTCACTCCTCACCTCTATTCAGCGTCTGAAGAGCCACTAAAGGCCACTTCCGGTCCTCCCGCCTCCGAGACTCGCGGTCGCTCGGCTGTAACTCAGTAACTCGAGCTCCTAGCCTCTGATTGGCTTAGGCAGATGGAGGAGGCGGGATGTGGCACCGAGGGGCGTGGCCTGCGGACCCTCAAACTAGAGTTTTCCTCGCGGAGCGGAAGCCGACTTCACCCGCCCCGGAAGTGCAAGGACGGAGGTCGTACAGGTGTGGGTTCCGCCGGGGAGGCGGCTTTTTTCGAGATGCCAGGAGCCGCGGCTAAGGGCTCGGAGTTGTACGAGAGCATCGAGAGTTTCGTGGAGGCCCTGAAGCGGGATGGCGGGCAGCGCAGCTCCGAGGACATGGCTCGGGAGACCCTGGGGCTGCTGCGCCGGATCATCACGGACCACCGCTGGAGCAACGCAGGTAAGGCAGGTCTAGTTACGTCGCGTCCCTAGCCACTGTCCGGCCCCGATCTTCAGGCGGAGAGTCGCCCAGCCTCATCGCGCCCGTGCCTTCTCTCCCTCGACTGCAGAGAAACTGATGGAATTGATCCGCCGAGAGGGCCAGAGGATGACGGCTGCGCAGCCCTCAGAGACCACGGTGGGCAACATGGTGCGGAGAGTGCTCAGGATCATCCGGGAGGAGTATGGCAGGTCAGGATGTGGGCCTTTTTGCACAAGCTCTTCTCCCTGCTTGAAGCCTTTGATGGAGCTGAGCGGCTCCTGTTGCTTAAATTCCTACCCTTCCGCCCCCCTCCCTGTTTGGGTCTTGTTGCCTCCCTAGACTCCACGGGCGCAGCGATGAGAGCGATCAGCAGGAGTCCTTGCACAAACTCTTGACATCCGAAGGCCTGAGCGAGGATTTCAGCTTCCCTTATGCCCAACTCCAGTCCAACATCATTGAGGCAATTAATGAGCTGCTTGTGGAACTGGGTAAGAGTCCTGATCCCTGATGGACAGGCAGATGAGGGAAAAGAAGACCCTGGAAGTTGTTCATCAGTAGATATAGGAGATAACCAGTCTTGTGGTTCTCCGAGCTTTGTGCTCCATCCTGATTAAGAGAAAGGGTTGGAACGGGTGGCAGGACTAAGATAGCCCTCTCTGCATGTCCTTACAGACTGGCCCTTGATGGATTGCAGATCCACTGCTGCAGAGACTTAGGACAGAGCTTTATTTTCATGTTAAAGATGAACTCCCCAAAACCACAGATGATAGACTCTTCTTCCCTAAATTTCCTCTTGAATTTTTATACACACAGATGCACCACCTCCTTTCCCCTTGTCTTTGTGACCCAGGAGACCTGCATGTATTCATTACAATCAGTTCCCCAAGGGAGGAGGAAGCTGGGTCTGTGTGTCTGTAGCTACTGCTTCCAAATTCCTCCCGTTTTTCTTCTGTGGCCTCCTTTTCAGGTGGGGGTGTTGCAGCCACCTTTTAGAGGAGTTCTTTTAGGGGGAAACTCTGTTTACCCCACTCTCAGCACCTTACAGTTTCTCAGATTGGACCATTTTTTTTGCTTGAATTCATTGCCTTCAAAATGAATTCTAAGGAGCTGGTATTGCGTGGGGCAGAGTTGGGGGATAAGTGGATGAGTAGGGGTTCTGCTGGGAAAGAAGGTAGGCTGAGAACTTGGGAAGTAGAAGATCCCAGAGGAGCATGGCTTTTAAGAAAAGGTGACCTTCACATTAAGTCCCTTCACCCTGTGTTACCACTAGGTCTGCTAGGTGGGTCGTCTGTGTGAAGGGCACTTGTCTCTTTCCATGTTCTGTCATGATTGTCTCGTGTTGTGGCATATGGCAGTTTCACATTTTCCTTGCCAAACTGACTGTTGTTGCAGAAGGGACTACAGAGAACATTGCAGCCCAGGCTCTGGAGCACATCCACTCCAATGAGGTGATCATGACCATTGGCTTCTCCCGGACAGTAGAGGCCTTCCTCAAAGAGGCTGCCCGAAAGAGGAAATTCCATGTCATTGTGGCAGAGTGTGCTCCTTTCTGTCAGGTAGGGGGACTGCTGGAGCTGCTAAGAAAAATGAAAAATGAGGAGGGAATAAAGGAGCGATAGATGGGCTCCATGCCAACTTTGACTTGATAAGTAAGACAATGAGAACACACATCTATGAAGGGAATTTTCGAGTTGTTCATCCTGTCAACATTCTTTTTTTTTTTAATTTTTATTTTTTTAAAGATTTTATTTATTTATTTGAGAGAGAGAGAATGAGAGATAGAGAGCACGAGAGGGAAGAGGGTCAGAGGGAGAAGCAGACTCCCCGCTGAGCAGGGAGCCCGATGTGGGACTCGATTCCGGGACTCCAGGATCATGACCTGAGCCGAAGCGACCTGAGTCGCTTAACCAACTGAGCCACCCAGGCGCCCATTCTTTTTTTTTTTTTTTTTTAAGATTTTATTTATTTATTAGAGAGAGAGCACGCACAAGCAGGGGGAGGGGCAGAGGAGAAGCAGACTCCCCGCTGAGCAGGGAGCCCGACGCGGGACTCGATCCCAGGACCCTGGGATCACGACCTGAGCCGAAGGCAGACGCTCAACCGACTGAGCCACCCAGGCGCCCCTTCTGTCAACATTCTTAAACATTGGTTTAGGAAAGTTAGGGGAAATGCTGGGGCCAAGAAAAGAAATATATTGGTTCTTTTAGGAATCAAAATAGGGTAAATTACCCTTGGGGATGACTGATGCTTGCTCTGACCTCACTCAATCCCTATGTAAATAATAGGCCTCTAGAAAGGAAATATGTAAGGATGCAGGAGGTCATAAAAGAATGAGCCAAGAGCTGTGCTGTTAGCGCTCCCTAATTACACAAGCAAGCAGTATTTCCAGTTTTCTGGCTGCGCTAGTGCTCCTGTGGAAAATTCAGCATTTATTGGCTTCTCCTGGGCTTCTCTGCAGTGTACCAGAGAATACCTACCATGAGTAGAAAAAGGAATTACCTGTTGGCAGGTGTGTGTTGGCTGTGCCCAGTATTACAGAATTGTCCAGATCCAGTTCCACTGGAGATGCCTTCCACTCTCTCTCACCCTCTCTCCTAACATCAGGCCTTTCTCTCCTATTGTAGGGTCACGAAATGGCAGTCAATTTATCCAAAGCTGGTATTGAGACAACTGTCATGACTGATGCTGCCATTTTTGCTGTTATGTCAAGAGTCAACAAGGTAGGTGTATTTGGAGTTATATTGAATTCATGAAGATTATACTTCTAAAATACTCTTTTTTTTTTTTTTCTCCCTCCTATAATATCCATGAGAAGAGAAGAAAACTTCTGGCGCCTTTTAAAAGTCCATGCTGGGCCTTTTTAATATATTAACCTGATTTCTTTTCCCTTTATCTGTATCATTGTTCCTCACTTAGAGTAGCTTCTTTTTGTTTTAAAGATTTTATTTTTAAGCAATCTCTACACCCAACATGGGGCTCGGACTACAACTCTGAGATCAAGAGTCCATGCTGTACTGACTGAGCCAGCCAGGTGCCCCAGGGTCGCTTCTTTTTGGTGAAAGCATTGGAAGAGAATGAAATAAGGCTAAGTGTGGCAGCTGCTAGGAATTGGGTAGAGGGTCCCTGCCTTCTGCTCAGAGAGCTTGACAGTGATGGATGGTGAATAGAAAGGCTCTTAGCTTTCTCAGGAGGTGTGGCATATAGATTCCAGAAAAGGCAGGGCTAAGGGCAGGAGATAGTGCAGCTTCCTGTCACATACAATATTCATTCTTTCTTTGGGAAGCCACTCTTGAGCTAGAACTCATGGTCCTTACCATAGAATCCCTTTTCCCTGACTAGTGTGTGACCCTCACAATGTCGAGACTGAGGCCTGAGCATTTAGCCTGTGGTGCCCAATGGCCCATTTAAGGCTCCATCCGTAGGATGACTCACATTTTGCTTCCTGTTCCAAAGGTGATCATTGGCACAAAGACCATCCTGGCCAACGGTGCCCTGAGAGCTGTGACAGGAACTCACACTCTAGCACTGGCAGCAAAACACCATTCCACCCCGCTCATCGTGTGTGCTCCCATGTTCAAGCTTTCCCCGCAGGTATGTCTGTCTGTAGCCAGCAGAGAGAAGGAAGCCAAAGAGTAGGCTTGAACTCTGGGCCTTCAACCTACTCACTCTGGGGCTTCTCTTTATCTGCGTTTACTAAATGGCTTAGTAAATGGCCCCCCCCATAGGGGCCAGAAAAAGCCACAGAAGTCTTGAATCAGGAAAAAAAAAATTGATAGTTATAACTTGTCAGTTTTGAGAAATCAAAATTGTAAGGTCAGGATAGTACGTGGCTGGGGAAGGCCCTTTGTTGACATTGCCACCATTGCCCATCACGCTGATCATTTCTGAAAATGCCGAACAAGTTGAAACCCAGAACACAGAATCAGTTTTATTTTTCATCATTGGAAGGACTGTCCTCTGTAGCCTGAATACAAGCAGTATTACAAAGTAAGAGCCATTTCACTAGCAATAGAAGCTGTTTGCTTTGAAATACCAACCTATTTGCAGTTCTCTTTTTTAAATTGAGGTGAAAGTCACATAACATACAATTAACCATTTTTAAATGTACAGTTCAGGGGCATTTATTACATTCACAGCATTGTGCAACTACCACTCTCTGGTTTCAAACCTTCATCATCCTAGAAAAAACCCCGTACCCATTATGTCATCACTCCCTTTTGCCCCCTCCGCCCACCTCCTAGGAATCGCTGATCTGCTTTTCTGTCTCTGTGGCTTTGCCTGTTTGGGATATTTCATACAAAAGAAATCATACAATATGTGCCTTTTGTTTCTGACTTCTTTCACTTAGCATGTTTTCAAGGTTCCTAGCTGTAGCACAGCGCTTGGTTTCTTTCTGTGGCTGAATAATACTCTGTTGCAGGGACCTACCACAATTTATTTATCCATTCACCTGTTGGTGGGCAGTTGGACTGTTCAACCTTTTGGCTTTTGTGAATAATGCTGGTGTAAGCACTGGTGTACAAGTTTCTGTGTGGACATACCTTTTTTATTTCCCTTGGGTGTATACTTAAAACTGGAATTTGCTGGGTCTCTCTCATGCCTTTTTTTTTTTTTTTTAATTTTTTTCTTTGTCTAGTTCCCCAATGAAGAAGATTCATTTCACAAGTTTGTGGCTCCTGAAGAAGTCCTGCCTTTCACAGAAGGTACAGAAGGGTGTGTTTTGTGTGTGTGTGTGTGTGTGGGCGTGTGCGCATGCATGTGCACGTGTACGTTTTGGTCTTTTTGCTTTTGTTTTAGTAGTCAGTGGGGATTGAATACTGCCCAGTTGTGCTTTTTATCGTAATTCTCATGGGGACTTCTCTTTAGCATCTTAGAGTGTGTGGGGACCTCATCTAGTCCATGTTCATTTTGTTCTGAGACTAATATATTTCACTGAGTATTGGGGCCATGGTGGGTTGGATCATTCAGCATTGATGGGGTTTGGCTTTGCACATTGCTTGACACACACGCAGCAACCCAATGGGAAAATGTACTCATTCTCATTTGCTGTAGGGAGTCATTTTGGTGACATGGCTGCCAAAGGAAGCATGCTCTAAAATGTTCCTAATATAAAACTTGCCTATAACCTGGATACCTTCATGTGTTGGGGTCCTTTTCCTCTGACTTCTGAAGGCAGCAGCTGTGCTCAATGAGCCTGCCACCTCATCAACATAAGATGGCCTTAAACGCCCTCTGGGAGGCACCATACTTGGGGTGTTAATTCTTAGAAGTTGAATAACTTCATCCATTTATTCACACATTCATTTTTTCAAGGATTCTTTGTATCTTTTGAGTACCCACTATGTATACAGCACTATTCTAGGTACTAAGGATGTAACAATGAACAACACAGGCCCTGCTCCCACGGAGCTTATGTTCTATTGCAGAAGACAGACAAGAATATGTCAGGTCATGGGATGTTTTGGGAAGAAAACAAATAACGATGATGGGATGGAAAGTGGTAGGAGACTATGTTAGTGGGGGAAGGGTCTAAATGAGAGGACATTTCAGCTGAGTGCAGAATGAATAGAGCCCCACCATGTAAAGATCAAGGAGAGTCTCCCAGGTGTTGGTGCAAAAGGCCTGAGTTAGGCCTAGGCTTAGCCAGTTGGAACAAGATGGCCATATGGCTGGAGAGTAGTGAGTACGAGGGAGAGTGGGATAAATTATAATTAGCGTAGCACAGTGGGGAGGGGCCAGATCTTGAGGGCTACTATCCCAAGCTGGAATTATTCTTAGGGCTATGGAAAGGCATTGAAGAGTTTGAAGCAGGAGTGTCATGATGTGAAGTCATCTCTTCTGGTTTGTACTTTGCTGCAGCTTCCCCTTTTTGGGGTAGCAAGTATGCCTGCATTATTGAGTCTAGAATCTGTGTGCTTAGTTATTAGAGCAGGATCCTCGGTTTTATCTTTAGCACGTGTAATTGCCTTTCAGGGGACATTCTGGAGAAGGTCAGCGTTCACTGTCCTGTGTTTGACTACGTCCCCCCAGAGCTCATTACCCTCTTTATCTCCAACATTGGTGGGAATGCACCGTCCTACATCTACCGCCTGATGAGTGAACTCTACCATCCTGATGATCATGTCCTATGACCACCACATGTCCTATGACCACCACCTGTCCTAAGCAGAAGCTGCTTAGCCAAATACAGAATGGAGAGGGACTTCAGTGTGACTGCTGAAAACATCGTCCTTGTAATGGGGAGTGACCTGGAATCAATCTGAAAAAACTTAATACTGTTTCCTTCCCTTTTAGTCATCCCATAACAAGGATGCACATTCAGGACTGTCTCTTGCCTTTCTGATCTTAACAGAAGCAGCAGGGCTTGACCTATAAATTTTGGAAGTCTTTTGGGGCACCTGGCTGGTTCAGTTGGTAGAGCATGTGACTCTTGATCTCAGGGTCGTGAGTTTGAGCCCCACGTTGGGCACAGAGTTCACTTAAAATTTTTTTTGGTGGGGGAGCCTCTTAACCTCTTAGTGACCTGGGGAGTCTGGAACTTAAGTTTCAGGAACTTAAACTTTCTGGTTCAGTGGGGTGTTAAACTTAACACTGAAGACCTTGCTGGGATACAGGTTTTTGCTCAGAAATGGCTACCACACCTTTTCCTGGGCTGTGCCAATAAAAGCTTCTTAAAGATTCCTGAGTTGGTTTATTTATTGTTCTGCTGTGATTGAACTGCCTGAAACAGCGGCTGCAGAGCCCTTTTTGTGCTTTCATGGAGTGCTGTAATTAGAGGGAACCAGCTAAAACAAATGCAAATGAAAGTATTTACAGTTTCCTTCCTAATTCACTGGCAGTGGTCCCCAGCAACTTGTTAGTAATCTAAGACAGTGGTTCCAAAACCTCTCTGATCATCAGAATCATCTGGGAGCTTAAAAAAATTACCATCTTGGGTTCTATCCCAGACGTACTTCATCTGATCTTTGGGATGGCACCTGGGAATCTGCTTAAAGCAAGTAAGAGACACTGTGGAACATTATGTATACACTGCAGTAGAGGTTTCAAAAGGGTGGCTTAAGGGCAGTGTTTGGATTAAAGACGTTTTTGGCTGGTTCACTCTGTATTTAATTTGAATTAGTTACCAATATTTAAAAATGAAAAAAGAAAAACGTGGAGCTTGCACATTAAACAAATTCAGATTTCCTGCTTCTCTTGAAAACAGAAGCTTTGGCAATTCTGTTTCCAATTCCAATTTCCCAAATGGCAGCAGCTGACTGCAGCTGGGCAGCTTCTGACTCCATTAAATGGAAAACCCTTTCCTGCAGTCCCTCCCATTTAACTCATTGACTGTTACCTGCTTAACCCCTCTCCCATTTAACTTATTTGCATTACCTGCTTAACCCCTCCAGGCATTTGCTTTGTGAGCCTTGTGTTAAACAGAATGGGACAGAACAAGCTAGGAAAAAGTCAAGCTGCAGAGCACTATGCATAATATGACCTCTACTTATTAAAACAAAACATTATGTTCATGCAGTAGGATAAAAGTCTGGAAGAAGGGGCACCCGGGTGGCTCAGCTGGTTTAGCGTCCAACTCTTGGTTTAGGCTCAGGTCGTGACCTGGTCCTGGGATTGAGCCCAGCATCAGCTTCCTGCTTAGCAGAAAGTCTGCTTCTCTCTCTCTCTCTCTCCCCCCCTCTGTCCCTCCCCACAGCGCGTTCTCCCTCTCTCTCAAATAAAATCTTAAAAAAAAAAGAAAGAAGAAGAAAGTCTCCCCAGGTAATCCAGACGACCTGTCATTTTTAGGAACCACTGGTCCAGAGGTCCAAGGCAGACTTGGTGTGCTGAGGAGCCCCTGGGATGCTGGTCAGAAGCCAGCTTCCTGTCTCCTGCGGCATTGTCTGTGGGGAGGAGGGAGGGCGCACTAGGGGTCTGCATGTTTAACAAGCACCCCAAGGGATTTTAACAGGTGATTTGATAACTACACTTTGGTAAACAATGGCCAGAGGTAGGCTATGAGGGAAAGGCCTCTATGACATTAACTTGAGGTATATCTTTGCCGTAGGGTCCTTGTCTTCCCTGAAAGAGGGTGAAAACAAGACTGAAGAGGGTCAGTCTGAAAGATGGACCTAAAAGCTCTATGACTCAGAAGAGCCTGACTCACTCAGGCCTCAGTCTGTCAATTATTTCTTAAAGCATCTAAGACCCCACGCTTTCTCAGTGAAGTGGCTTACAGCTACCAATTATGAGCAATTGTCTCTGAAGGCACCAATTCTTACAGCAATTCACTTGGGTACAACTGTGTGGTCTGGAGTAAAAGCAGCAGTGAGTCAAGGAACTTAAATCTGTTTCTGGCTCCAAAAATGCTTTATGATACTTGTCCTTTGTGCATCTTAGTCTCTGGGTCTAAAATTAGCACCCACATTCTTCCCAGGCATAAGTGAGATGGATGAGGTTTACAAGGGTAGAGGCTCTGTCTCATATTGGTCAACTCTTAAAGTTCCTGGGACAGATGAACTGCACCAATGCCGTATTCTTTAGGCTCTTTAGGACCTCAATTAAGCAAATCCCACAAAGCTATTTATAGGCCTCATTTTTCTATTTCCCTCTCTCCCTTTTCCTGTTTGAGGAAGAGTAAATATTGGAACCGGAGAGCCTGATCCGAACAGGGAGAGACAGCGGCTCCATGTTAATTTCCTACCTGTTGGCCTCTGTGCCTGTCCCCCGCCCCTGCTTTTGCAGGCGGAACCCGGAAACTAAGGACGAAAACTTGTAGCTTTAGCTTGAAGAGAATTAATAGAAAGAGGATTCCGTGGATGTGAAAGTCTTCCTGGAGACGCTAAATAAACCAAGTTAGAGAATTACTCAATACAGTTTGTAAAGACACTTTTCCCACGGTTTTGTATCTTCCAATTTGGGCGGAGGGCAGGAAAGGCACAATTCTTGGAACTCAAATAAGGAACAGAAATTCCTAATTTAGCCTCAGAAGAGAAGTCTCTGAAAAATACTCCACCAAGGAAAACTTCAGCGTAAAGTGATACCTCAAAGAAATACATGCCGGTACCCGTAGGATCATACATTTCACAGATGTGCTTCGAAAATCATTTCTCAAAGCAATCCGTCATACCAGTCTTTGGCGTAATGAAGGCTGCCAGTCCTGCGGTTCCATCATCGAGCTACGTGACTCTATAACACCACATATGTAGAACTCAGTACATCCGAACTGGCCACAAAGATAGTACCAGATGGTGATGTAATTATGGTAAAGGCCCCATACTATCCACCTGTCCTCGCAAAACTTCTGCAGACATGAACCTCGTTGACACAAAGGAGCTCTTCTGAAATGTGGTTTGGAAGGGTTTTATATCTGGCCTACTTCGCTTTGAATTATTCTTTCATTCACCAAACAGCTGTTCCAGGTTATTGTGCAATGGCTAAGCAATTATTAATAAAGAGCTTATAGTCTAAGCTTTCAGTCTTTTGCATGATGGAGGGCCGCCTTTGAGCCTAACCACACAACTCTGACTGCCTGATGTTTACATTAAATACTGAGCTGAAGAGAAGGAGCCTTTCAGGAGTGTTTTTTCAGGCATGTTACATTTAGAATTAAGACCTGCATTGAGAAGAAGGAAGCTACTCGAAAACGTGACAAGATTCCTAAAGTTCATAATGTATATGTAAAATTCTGCAGTTTACTATGAGGCACGACGAAGTACTTTGAATAAATAATACACTAACAGCAGTAGTGAACTCCCGACTCTGAACCACCTTTTTTTCCCTTTTGCGGCGGGGGAGGGGCGTGGCGGTGGCGTGGATAGGCCACCACCACTGCATACTGCTTGCTTTTGCAGTAAATAAGATTTAAGTTGTTTAGTCGGGCAAGTTGTAAGGGGAAAGTCAGGCCAAATCTAGCTTCTTCACACTGCTGCTGGAGTCACGCTAGCTTGCGGGCTCCACACTCAGATCCCCCAGACCGGGATCAGGTTGCCGGCACTTTATCAGATGTTTCTGAGCACAGAGTGCTGTGACAAACGGGGATGGGGTGAAAATGATCCAAGGGTCTGAAAAACCCTAAGCCGGGGGAGAGCCTCTTTTTTTCTTTATATCCCCACAAATTCTGATACGTTTAGAAGGGACTCATACATTTAGTTACTGAATGATGAATAAGTGAAGGGAAGGAAGGGTTTAATTGGTACAGATTATCTAGATTTTCGGTTTCCCAGACTTCCTTCTTCTGAGTCCACTTTGTTGCTATCTTCCCGTCACTGAGCAGCTTCAGCTGAGAAAGGGTGAAAGGGCATGACAGATAATGGCAAACCTAGCGGTCAGTTCGCTAGCCTGCTTGTGTAAAGGCTTTCCTGGAATGGGGTGGCACTTCAGGTAGAAAACAGGTAGGAAGAGTCTGGCTCTTTATTCCAGAAACTGCTCTTCCCGCTTCATTCGGACATGCCGATGGATATGCCACGGTGGGCTCCCACTTGAGGCTTCAGCCGAGCACCGCTGTCAGTGCGTTCTAGGAACTGATAGGCTGCGTCTGTTTGCTCACCGTGCGTGGCTTCCTCAGCCCCCTACACATCTCTAGAACTTGGTCTTGGGCCCCCTCCTGCTCCGCCCCTGTTCTGGCTGCTTTGTTTTTTTCCACTGTTAGGTTCAGATCCCATCTGTTCATTTGTGTCTGACCTTTTCTTTGCCTGGCTCTGATGTGTGACTGCTACAACCTCTCCATTCTCAACTGCTCATGGAGTTACAGAACCCCAGCTAGGTTCTGGATCTTTCCCTAGCCTTCTCCTCAGTCTCTCCCCTCCCTTCTACACTCTAAGCTTTGCCTTAAGCTTTTCTGATACTAGTTCCTATTACCATCTATAGCCTTAATTTCTGACAGAACTGTTATCTCCTCTTTTCCCAGTAAAAGCTACATAGCTGGAACTGAGTGACCCCTAAACCTAGAGGAAGTTATCGCATTCAATCATCAGTTTCCTTGTCCTCTCCCTGACTAAAGTTAAGCTTCTTGCAGGCATGCACCCTTATTACTCAATAAAATTGTAATGAATATTCCCAAAAAAGGAACCCTGGAGGGTGGCCTCATTGCACATCGCATCTATCAAGTTTTACTCTGAAGTTAATGAAGTCTCCACCAGCCAGACTCTAATAAAGTTGGAACTAAGTTGACAAACTGGTAAGTCCCTCACAAATTAGAAATATATGGGCAGCATGGGTTAACAATGGGAAACCACGTGAAGGAGTGTGCCACGTGAAGCCACATGGACCTGGCTCTGAATTCTGACTCTCTCTTTTTTTAAAGATTTTATTTATTTATTTGAGAGAGAGAGAATGAGATACAGAGAGCACGAGAGGGAAGAGGGTCAGAGGGAGAAGCAGACCCCCCGCTGAGCAGGGAGCCCGATGCGGGGCTCGATCCCGGGACTCCAGGATCATGACCTGAGCCGAAGGCAGTCGCTTAACCAACTGAGCCACCCAGGAACCCTGATTTCTGACTCCCTTAACGAAAGGGGAAACTACTCTGAGGCTCAGCAGTCTCACTGTAAAAGAGACACTAGCTTGCTAACAGAACTGTTGTAAAGACCAGAGATAATGTACACAAAGCACTGGGTATATTTATTCTTGTTATTGGAGCCAGAAAACTTGTTTACCATTCTCAGCTTTACTACTTACACTTAGTACCTATGTGATCTTAGACAAA